TAGTACCTGTACCAAAAAAAGAAGAGGATAACATAAAATATTCAAAGATTTGAGTGAGGTGTGGAGACAGGGTCTAGTTTAGAATGCTGGGTCTGGGAGAATTGCTCCTAAATCCTGAAATACTCTCTCAACACAAAAGCATTGTGGTAATTTTTAGTCAGCAGATCTGCCTTGCCAGGAGTGTTAAAGGAGTTTCTTCAGGGAAAAGGAAAAGTATGTAGGTCAAAAGCCTAGATCTGCAAAAGGAATAAGTAAAGGCAAAAATAAAATAACTTTTCTTATAACTGATAGAATTTTTTATTGAAATTAATGATAATAATTAATCAGGTGCTAATAACTATGGACAGATTAAGTAAATAGCAAATGTCTCAAACTATAGGATAGACACTCAGAATCTTCTCTTAAGAGGTAGCAACACTGTTTCTGAAAGAGAGAAGACTTAAGTCAAATGTAAATATATGTTCTGAGCTATAAGGAAACCACTAACTTTTTAAAAAAGCATAATTGGTTTACTCACAAAAAATGAAAAGGAATTCATATAAAATATTCAATCAGAGAAAGCAGCATAGAAAAAGATAATTAAAAACAATGAATGGTGGCCGGGCGGTGGTGGTTCATGCCTTTAATCCCAGCACTTAGGAGATAGAGCCAGACGGATCTCTGTGAGTTCGAGGCCAGCCTGGTCTACAGAGTAAGATCCAGGACACACACCAAAACTACACAGAGAAACCTTGTGTCGGAAATCAAAAAAACAAAACAACAACAACAAAAAAATGAATGGAGCAGGGTGATGATGAAGCATATCTTTAATCCCAGCACTCAGGAGGCAGAGGCAGGTGGATCTCTGAATTCGAGGCCAGCCTGGTCTACAAAGTGAGTTCCAGGACAATAAAGGACACTCAGAGAAACCCTGTCTTGAAAAAAATACAAAAGGAAAAAGAAAAAAAAAAGGAAGGGAGTAACTCACTGAAAAAGTTTGTAAACATGGCAGATACCAATCTAATGTCGCTCCCCTGTGACATTTGCTATTTATTTCATTTATCTATAAGCTGTAATTGCGCAATTAATTGCTATTATCTCTTGGAATAATGAACCATCTATTTGCCTATAAATAAACACTTTCAATATGAACACCCTAACTATTCCTATTAAAGACTTTAAGAGTGAATGGATAAATAAGACCCCACAATAATCGGTCTATTAAAAATCCACTTTAAGAACAAAGATTAAATATAGATTAAAAGTAAATAGCTGAAGAAAGGAAAAGATATACAGGCATGAACCAAAAGGAACCTTCAGTTGCTATATTGATTTTGGACAATAAAGGGTTCAGAGCATGAGAAATCATAAGGGATAAAAGGGAATTACATAGCAATAAAAGGAATCAATTATTCAAGACATAATAGCCTTTAATGTTTATGAACTTAAGAAATATTGTGATATCTAAGGAATGGAGTAGTGAGCTGCAAGAACCAATAGATGAACCCACTATTGGTGCTGGAGATGGCAATAATGCCCACTTTACCCCATCAGCAATACAATGGGCCGCCAGAGCAGCAGCAGAGGCAAGTTGAATGGATCAGTCATTCATGGTCTATAGAATACTGCAGCCAACATTACTGTGCTAAAGCAATTCAGAACTTACCCCAAAATGTACCATACCCAGGACCAAAAAACTCACACACTCCCCTCAAATTTAAAAGAATAAAAATCATATTAAATATGACTTAGACTCTATTGTGTAAGACCTCTAAATTAGTATGGAAATCATAAAGCACTGGGGAAATTTAACCAAAGCATGCATGGTTCAAAGAGGAGGACTCTTGGAGGAATTTTGTTTTGAAAAACTAGAACAAATAAAAAATGTAATGTGCCAAAATGTGTATCTTGCAACAAAAGCAGCATTTCGAGGGAAATGCACAGCATGAAAGGCATGCATGAGAAGACAGAATATGTCAACCTCTGACTTTCCATCCTGGATGGTAAAGAAAGAGCAGGGCTAGAAACCTGAAGCAAGTAGGAGAAAGGTCAGTCAGAAATCCATGCAAGAGAAAACCAAGGAAGCCACAAATTAGTTCTTTGGAAAGATAAGTAAAATTGATAGATCTAATTATGCTAGCACAGGAAGAGGTAGAAATGACACAGTTTAATAATCTTAGAAAAGAAATAAGGGTGCCTTGTAGAGATGTTTCAGCAGGAAAGAGCACCTGTTGCTCTTTCAGAGAAGTGGAGTTTGGTTCTCAGCACCCATGTTGGGAAGTTCACAAGGGCCTATAACTCCAGCTCCAGGGGATCAAATGTCCCTTTTGGCAACTACAAGTATCTGAACTTATATAGACACACATAAATAAAAATAAAATAAATACCCTTAAAATTAAGATAAAGAATTTCCCCATTGACCCTATGATAATTTTATGTTGTAAATATGATAATCTGTGTGAAATAAGCTGTTTTATAAAGGACACAGAAATATAGATAATCTTAACTGGCCTGGGATCTCTTAAAAATTCAAGCCAACACTGACTAACTTTACAAAAGAGAAAGTGCCAGGCTCAAAAACTCATTGGTGAACTTTATCAAAAAAGAAATAACACCATCCTTCTAGAAGCACTTCCCTGTTACTGTATGTTTAAAGCCACACTAAGCTTTTAAAACTAAAGGAAAAGAGAAAGAGATCCAGGCAAGGAGAGAGAGACAGAGACAGAGACAAAGACAGATAGAGAGACAGAGAGAGCAGAGAGGCAGACAGGCAGATGTTTCACATTCAGCCTGCTTTGATGTACTGACATCTCCCATTCTTTCACATTGTCTGCAAAACTTGACAGGGTTTTGAGCATATTTATTCATCTAAGGTAAGGGACACAGGCTGACTGAATAAGTTCACAGAAGGAAGGTTCTGGGGTTTCTGCAATTGCATCCTTCAGGCAAAGCAACCTCTTGAGAGAGTTGAAACAGTCTTGATTGCCACAGAATTACCTATGGATTTTTTAATGTATATGTGTAGCAGGAATCTTAAAAGTTCTTATTAATAAAATCAAACCCGAGGCCAGTTATTGGGGTCAATGCTGGTAGATCAGAGAGACAGAACAAGCCACAACTATCTCACCTCACCGGATCCTCATCTGGTCCTGTTTCCTCAGACTGGAAGCTTCTGTGTCCTCATCCAGAATGAATCTCAGCTGAACTGTGCTGCTCGAAAGCCTGAAGCTTAACCAGCCACATGCTTAACCAGCCAAATGCTTCTAGTTTCTGGTCCTCATGCCTTATATATCTTTTTGCTTTCTACCACCACTCCCTGGGATTAAAGGCTGGCTTTCTGGGATTAAAGGCGTGTGTCACCATGCTTGGCTATTTCCAGTGTGGCCTTGAACTCACAGAGATCCAGAGGGATTTCTATCTCTGGAATGCTAGGATTAAAGGTGTGAGTGCCACCATTTTCTAGCCTTTGTATCTAGTGGCTGTCTGTTCTCTGACCCCAGATAAATTTATTAGAGTACACAACATTTTGGGGAACACAATACTACCACATATATGTGCATGGTACTCATGAGTGATCACATGCATGTTCATATCTACATGGACCCGTGTGCGTACAGGTGTGCATGCCCTGGTGTGTGTGTGTGTGTGTGTGTGTGTGTGTGTGTGTGTAGGCCTGAAGTTGATATCTCATGTCTTCCTAGATTGCCTTCCACGTTATATACTGAGACAGGGTCTCTCACTGAACCTGGAGCCTTGAACTGTCCAGCTTGACTCAGGGTTCCCCTGTCTTTCCCCTCTGCATGCATAGAATACCCATGACCACAAAGCCTCCCCAGTTCTGGGTATCTGAACTCTGGTCCTCATGTTCTGCACCATTTTAATCCACCAAGCCATCTCCCCAGTACCTGCTGCTATATAGCAGACACCACTCAGTATCTGCTAGCCTCATAAGTCCTTTTCCGCTTCCTACTGCAGCTGGTCTTACCAAAGAAAACACACTAACAGACCTATTACATAATTAATTATTAATAATGTATTAAGCTCATATATTACACGTGCAGTATGTAACATGCTATATGTCCTGTTCATGAAAACATATGCATGCATGTATGTAAACATATATGTAACATGTACCTGTTTTCTAATATAGAACGCAGAGAGGAAATCTACTAGTGTTTCAAACTACATAAGTAAATTCTCTAAAACATCTGAAATTCCAGGATCATTCTCAGTTCAGAATCAGGGCCTCACCTGACTTCCTAAGCAGGCTTGGATTATTGATCCATTTGTGACTGGTTAGTAACTCAGGGGCTGCCTAACAGATTCTTGAACAAAACCTCCTTTGATGAGGCTCTGTTGTCATTGAATGAGTATTCCTGGAGCTCAGTCCTTTTATCACTAACAACCCATGGTCCTTTGCACATCCATTATGGACTCATTACTTTCTCAGGATTCTTTTTGGGCTTTGTCTTGTGAAGTAACTCTAAGGCACATCATTTCCCAGAGTCCCTTTCTTTTCCTTGTAGATCGTGGGTTCTCTGATGTTTCTTCCTAAGACCCATCTCCTAATATCCTTCCTGGTATCTTGTGATGTTGGCTTTTTTCCTCCAACACCTGGATTTGAAGTATAAGTAGTGAGACTGTATAATATACTCTTAAACCCTGGAGGAAATGACCATGCATGCTGAATTTTACAAGGATTTGCAAACAGAGTAATAGTCACCTAAAATGGCCAATCTTTTTACTCATTCAGAAGATTCTGTCACTATGGGCAGGGCAGGAGTGCAAGCAGTGTGCTCAGACTTCCTAATGGCACCTCAAGCAGCTCTCTGAACTTCTTTAAGACTCAGTTTCCCCATTAGTAACGTAGAACCGATAACAGAATCAATCACAGAAGACTGTAAGCAAGAAGTGTCCAAAAATATACTCGAGGCCAGGGAGCCAGTGTAAAGAATAAGTAAGTAAATATATGGTCACCATACTGTTATACATTACCACTGTTACTGTTGGTCTTTTGGCAGATCCCTCTATGAGTAAAGATTTCTGGATTCAGAAAGAATGTGTGAAGCGTCTTCGATTCAAATGTCCATCACGTCTTTACATACAAATGGTTGAGCAGATCCCTTCTTCCTGGTGTCCTGCTTCATTCTAAAGACAGCATGATTGGCTAATGGTGAGTCCAGTGCAACAGTGGTTATCTATTGTGCTCCGGCCACCCTGCTGTAAATGCATATAGAAGAAGTCAAATCATAAATGGGCATGTGTTCAGCCCTGTCCTGCCCTAAAGCTTGGTATGGAAAAGGATTCAGTGGTGACAGTCACTCTTGTGCTGGACGCTGACCCATTATGCCTACTATAAACACCAGAGGAAAAATTTCTCAGAATTTTCAGAAAGATTTATTAATTCTTTTTTACTTGTATGTTTGCCAACAATGTGTGTGTATGTGGTGCTCATGAATGCCAGAAGGGGGCATCAGATTCCCTTGAACTAAACTTACAGATGGTTGTGAGCCACTATGTAAGTGTTGGGGACTGAACCCAGGTCCTCTGCAAGAGCAGCCTATGCTCTTAACCACTGAGCTATCTCTCTAGTCCTGAGTTCTAAGATTTTTAAAAGTCTGTTTGCCATGCATTTCCTGACTGACCACATACATGGTTTCAAAGAATAAAGAAAGTGAAGAATAATTGTGTAATTTCCTATTAGTGCTTCACATAACTTGTCATCCCATGAAGTTTAAAGAAAACAGAATGAGTAGCCCGAACCCCAGATGTTGACATTTCCCCCTGCATCTTGGCGCCCCATTATCTCAGCTGGTCTAGACACATCTCAGCAATTAGCATAGTTGTGCAGGCAGCTCTCAAGCCACTTAAACTGACACTTTGAAATATTAGCATGGAATTACTGCAGGTGCAGTCATCTGGCAGAGGCCCAGCAGCAAGTTTGCATGAGCCCAGAATTTTAAAAAGTTTTCTGCACTAGCCCTTATGTTATTAAGCTGTTACAATTAGAGGTAAAAATCCTGTTTTCTTTGGCAGCGTCCTCCTTCATCTATAAAGCACCATCAGTTTCCTTTGGAAAACGAAGCATCATTTGGTAGGATTCTGCAGTGGATGCCATCATTGCAAATTGGGTGCAAGCCCAGCAAGAGCTGCATGACAGGTTGACACAGGAGACGACAACGCTTCTGTGCCCACCAGACAGCCTGCCCAGGTATCTCACAGCTCTGAACACTTCAGATGCCTCTGGTCTCTACCACACAGCCTCGTATCCAACTCCCAATTACTACATTTTTTTTTCTCTAGAACTTTTGCTCACATTAGTCTTATTTTCCTTATTAGATTCTGTTCACCCCATATAAAATGGAGCACTATGTAAAGCTATTACTGAAGAAGAAATGAAAGCTGTGGATACCCACAATCATAAAACCCTCTTAATGCAATTGATGTAAAGAGTTTATCATAAACATTCTTAGATGTAATGGGGGATTATGGTAACAAGGCCAAAAGGTACCCTTTATCAATGCTAAAATGCAGATATTAAGAATAGTGGTTTGAAATAATATTTTATTTCTTCTTTGAAAACTTCATGTGTACAATGTATTTCAATCATATCTACCCGACTTTCTGTCTTAAACTTGCCACTGCCTTAAATTTGCCAAAGACTCCCCCACAACACCTCTCTCCCAAATTCATGTCTCCACATTTTATTTATTTATTTATTTATTTATTTATTTATTTATTTATTTATTTATTTATTTTATATCCCAGCTGCAGTTTCCCTTCCCTCCCCTCCTCTCAGTCCCTCTCCTCACCCCCCATTCCTCTGTTCCCACCTCTCAATCCACACCTCCTCTGTTTCTGTTCAGGAAAGGGCAGGTCTCCCATGAATGTCAAGAAAACATGGCATATCAAGTTGCAGTAAGACTAAGCACCTCCCATATGTATTAATTAATTGTCTCATATTGGGCAAGGCAACCCAGTATGAGGAGTAGGGTCCCAAAAGTCAGTAAAAGAGTCGGAGACAGCCCTGTCCCCACTGTTAGGAGTCCCACAAGAAGATCAAGCCACACAACTATAACCTATTTACAGAGTGCCAAGGTCAACCCATGCAGACTCCCTGGTTGTTGGTTCAGTCTCTGTGAGCCCCTGTGAGCCCTGGTTAGTTGATTTGTGGGTTTTCTTGCAGGGTCCTTGATCCCTCTGGCTCCTACAATCCTTCCTCCCCCTCTTCTGCAGGATTTCCCAAGCTCCAGGCTTTGCCTAATGTTTTCTATAATCCACTCAGTCTAACTGGTGTTTACCTCATGTGCTTGAGTGTGGGATCATCCATCAGAACATGAACAACCTACCGGTGGCCACACCCCCAAGAAGAAGGATTCTTTTTCAGGCATCCATTAGCTGCTCTTAGATCCTCAGCTAGGGGTGGGGCCTTGGGATACCCTCTTACATCCATGTTGGGATTTTCTCTAGCTTGATCTTGCATAGCTACCCATTAGTGTGAGTTCATGCATGCAGTATCCATACCAAGCCCAGGAGACAGCAGTTCACAGCACTCTTCCCTATCCTCTGGTGTTTACATTTTTTCTGCTTCTTGTTCAGGGTGTTCTTTGAGCCTTGCGGGACTTGGTATAGATGCCACATTTAGGGCCGAACACTCAATCACTAAAATTATAAAATATAATTTTCACTCTCTTAAAGGAGCTTAAGTAGAGGTACCTTCCAGGGGTGGGGCAATGATACCCCAGAGACATAACTAATATTAAACACACTACTGATTTTTATGTGTTAATTTTGTATCCTGCCACTTTGCTGGAAGTGTTTATTACCTTTAAGAGTTTTATAATTCAGAGTTATTATTAAAAATGTGCATTAATTCCTGTCATTTTACTGAATTTTATAGTCTTTCTAACCATGGAAAATTCAATTACAATAAATAGTTTGGGGTTGGCAGTTGTGGTACTTCTGAACATGAAATATATCTTTCCAGGCTTTTCAGTTTGTAAAGCTTTCTGTTGTAATTAGCTATTACTCTGATGGTCCTGCCTTTACAAGTGACTCCACCTCCTCTCTTAGAGCTTTCTATACCCTTTCTTTATATACTCTTGCCTTTAGTGTTTTAACAAAAATATGTCATGTGAAGTGTCTTTTCTGCTCTGGGCTATTTAATATTCTCTACTGCTATTACATGTGGCCCACCATCTCTTTCTCTAGGTTTGGGAAATTTCCTTTTATGGTTATATCGAAAGTATTTCCTATGCTTTTAGTTTGGTATTCTTCTATGCCCATAATTCAAGGATTTGGTTTTTTCATTGTGTACAAAGCTCTCCTATGTTCTGTTTGCATATATTTTAAATTTATCATTGACCTTTACTGAATGATCCTATTCTTTACCATGTCTTCCAGCTTTGGTTCTGTTTCCTGTATGATCCATTCTTTTGGCAAAGTTTTCTACTGAGCTTTTTATTTGACTAATTGAGTTAACACCATCCTTTCAAGTTGGCTTTCCTTCAGCAATTATATTTCTTTGTTGAATTCTACTTTCATATGTTAGGTTGATTTCCTTACTTCATTCAGCTCTGTTCTTGTTCTCTCGGCATCCATTCCTGTCATCTTTGAGTTATTTGAACATAGTTATAATTACAGAGTTATAATTACTCTTTTGAATTTTTTATCCAAGAGCTCTAGTGACATATTTGGTTAGTGTAGACTTATATAAATTTCTTGTCTGGGAGTTCTTCCAAATCCTTCTCATGGAGGTTACTTACTACAACATTAGTAATTTTTGAAGCAGGCATGTTGTCTTTTTGTGTGTGTGTTTTGTTTATTCCTATGCTGGTTTTTGTGCATTTGGAGTTGGTTGGTGGTTGATTCTTAAAAAAAAAAAAAAAAAAAAAAAAACACCTCATGTCACCTTTCTTTTCTCAGTGGCAGCATGTGCCATGTTCAGGGGTGGACTATGTTTGAAGTGTCATCTTCTGCTGTCAGACTGGTATTCAGTGCTGTGGGCTCCTCTGAGAGTTTGCTAATATCTTCAGTAACAGTAAATATCCAAAGGTAACTATCAACACATCCCTGGAAGATCCCTAAGCACACCACTATCTAGGGCAGTCCTGACTTTGGTTAGCTCTGACCTGACTTCTGATTCAATATCCATCCATTCATGTTGTGGGATGCCACACACCTTAGCATCTTACCCTGGGTCTGCTCTGATTCTCTTCCTGAGTCCATAGCTTCCACCAAGTGTATTAGACCTGTGTACCTGTGTATACCTTACCCTGGGTCAGTTATGGGTTCCTCTAATATTATTTTATGGTCCATTAAAGATAGTATGTATATATACTCAAATATGCATATATAACACAATCATTTTTCAGCATTTCTCTAATGTTTGAAGGAAACAAGAACAGCAACCAGCCTATGCAGCTTGAATGTTCTCACAATTCACAGAGATGAATCTGGTAGAGTGGTTGCTTATAATGGGTTCCTGTCTGGTATAGAGTTTATTCCAGTTTGGCTTGCTGTTAAATCTATCTTGGGTTAATTTGTGTTAATAGATTTTCTACCTATTTGCACAGATCAAACACAACCATTTTGTTGAATGCTCAGAGCCTAGAATATAGTAGTTCAGCATGTGTCTTAAATTTGAATCTATATGTATCTGTTTTGCAATACTTACATATACCCTATCACACTTCTTTCCTCCAGAGAACAACATCTCTGTCATTCTCATACTCTTGGGCCATATACCTACTTTATTATTATTAGATTTCATAATGTCCTTTTTGTATTTTGCCTTGATTATTGATTCCTTTGTGGGGCTCAGAATGGAACCAAAGGTCTTACATGTAAATAAGTGTTCAATCACTGAGTACAAACTCCCTTTTAAGTTAAAATTCAAGATGAAAATAAGATGCCATGTATACAGTGTGAACCATTTTGACTTAGTCCACATGTAGAATGAAATATTTGAGTCTCCTATTTACTGCAGATCCACTGAGCTGGATTGGTACAGCTTATTTAAAACTTGATGGACCAACCTTCAATCTATGAGAACACGATAGCTTTTGAAACGAATGTAAACAATCACTGCAAAACCTATACAAAGAGGTGTACTTTAAAAAAAGAGACAAATAAAAATGGAAAACTAAAACATGCTCAAGTAAGATCCAAAGAAAATAAAATTGAAGAATAAGGAAGAACAAACTCAATGCAAATAATCATATGGCAGACATAGACCCTAAAATATAATTCTTTAAAAAATAAATAGTTGAGTATACCAATTATAAGACAAAGGTTTGTCAGACTGAATTTAAAAACAGTTTCAAAACAAGAACATGACCCAAGTATTTCTTTCTACAAAGATAACTCAAATATCATGATATAATTAGGTAGTAGATATTCTTAGAAGAGACTAAAAGTCATCAGAAAGAAGGAATGAACTGGGACTGGACAGATGGTCCAAGGCTAGGACCACATACTCCTCCTGCAGAGGACAGGAGTTCAGTTCAAAGCCCTGTGTCAGATAGATCACAACATCCAGTAATTGTAGCTCCAGAGGATCTGCTGCCCTCTGCTGTCCTCTGGGGCCCTCCTTGTGTATTGCATTCTTAGGCCTGCACACACACACACACACACACACACACACACACACACACACACACACGCATGCACACGCACAAGCGTGCACAAATCAATCAATTAATAAATAAACAAATAAATAAAATATAAGAAAATGCAGAAGGAATGAGCTACTTATCCATGAAGGCTTGATGGACTTTGATAGCAAGGCATCTACAATTCAGACCGAGGAGTCCATGCTCTATGATGACAGGAGTACCGTCAAAATGACAAGACAGGAGAGGAATGGTTGCTAATGGACAAAGCTGTAGAGAGTAAATGGAATGTTGATGTGAATAAAGAAGGAACAAGAGGGAGCTCTTCGGCCATGGATGATCTAGTTCTGTATAATGATTATGGTGGTGATTGTATGGATCTACACACAGGACAAGAAGTTCTAGAAATATCATGCAATCTCAAAAAAAAAGATGTAAAACCTAAAGAGGTTTTGTTTTGTTTTGTTTTTTGTCTAGTTTACAATAATCCACAAATACCAGTTTCCTGGTTTTAACACTATTCTGCAGTTATGTAAGACACTACATTTGGGGTGACTAAGTAAAGGGTGCCTGAGTTATTGTATTGTTTTTTGCAACTCCTTGAGTTGATACTTCGTGTGAAAACCTGTCTGAAAAAAAAATCTGTTGACAGTTCTCCCAACAGAGTGTGTGTGTACACGTATCTGTCCTGACCTTTGACCCTGTGAGTCTTCCTGACTATTGTGATGAATAGGAAGTGGCAAGGTGAGGCTGCCTTATCTCTGAGATTTAGAAATAGCTTCAGAATAGATTCAGAAATAGCTTCTGCTGACTGCTTTCAAGAACTTGACTGGAGAGCCCTCAGCAGCCATGTCAGGAGCAGCTGCCAGCCTCAGAGCTCAGCCTGGAAGGCCCTGTAGAGAAGATGGTACCCAATTGTCCCATGGGTTCTGCCCAGATTTTGTGTTCTTCCCTACCCTGAGAGCCCTGGTACCAAGCATCTGAGTGTAAAACTCTTGAGGTGACCCGAGTCTCAGCCAGTGTCTGGGAGGAGCTACGTGAGATAGCTTCAGCTCAGCCAATCCTCAAATTCAGTTAGTGAATAAACCGTCTGTGTTGAGCCACTGTTTGGTGGTGGGTTGTCTGCTGTGGATATTGCTCTATCTAAATAAAACACTGATGGTCAGTGACCAGGCAGGAAGTAGGTGGGACAAGGAGAGAGGAGAATTCTGGGAAGCGGAAGGCTGAGGGGGAGAGACACTGCAGCCACCGCCAGGAGAAGCAGCATGTAAAGACTCTGGTAAGCCACCAGCCACATGGCAAGGTATAGATTTATAAAAATGGGTTAATTTAAGATAAAAGAACAGTTAGCAAGAAGCCTGCCATTGCCATACAGTTTATAAGTGATATAAGTGTCTGAGTGATTATTTTATATGTGGATTGTGGGACTGTGGGGCTTGGGGAACCTGGAGAGAAGCCCTCCAGCAACAGTTGTCTTCTCAGCTGATTTCTCGATTGACTCTCTTGATTGGTGAACTCTTCCTTTATGGGAGCCTGTTTATGAGTTTCATTAAATCTAGCACTCTCCCCTAACAGCTGCTCAACTATATTAGCTTTAAGTCAGTTCCAAGAACTACATGTCATTGGCCTGGCTGGAGTCACTTGAACATGCTGAATCTTGTTATTAATTTGTAAACCCTGACTCTTGCTCTAACACTGAACCTAAGATGTGTCAGGGTCCCAGCATCTTCTGAGTGATGTTGTCTGAACCCTAAGTGCTGAGAACAGAGAGCCATTTCCTTCTCAAAGTTAACACACACTGTTACAGTATCAGAGAGAGGGTAGGTCAGATCTATGTCATTAAGACTTCGGGGCTTCCCAACAGCCACCTCACTTCCTGGATGCCCATTTCTCTAACAGTAAAAGAAGGAGAACAAACCATTCAATCACTAATGGTCTGTCTATTGATGGAGCCTAAACCTGTCACTGACATCATGAAAACTGTTAACTTTGTGTACCACTGCATATTGTCAAAGGCAGGGAGGGAGGACTCTTGAGTCTGCCAAATAAAGGCGAGAAAAGAAAATCTCTAAGCTCTTCACCCGCCTCCCCTTCCCTGCACTCCAACAACAAGCACAGACAAAACAAGCCACTTCCAGGGTGTAAATCATGCAGACTGCCTGAGAATAGGTGGTGGCTCCAGCCCTGGATTGCTGAGGAGGAGGAGGGCCTAGAAAGGAGGCTTCTGTTTGCAGTGTTTGTTAATGAAGCCCCTTTTGATGGACAGCCCCAAGCGTTTAGTGTTGCAGTGAATAGATGCAATTCAAAGCATCGTGGCAGGCTGGTGTATTGATGCACTGTGTTGGAAATGATTATCACATGTGATTACGAGTGCTGCCCACCACCAGGACCCTTTGGGGTTCACAGGAAGCAGCTTGGTGCTATAAATGTGGATAAGCAGAGAGAAGGTGGCCGGATGGTGCTGACTCCTAGGGAAAGGCAATTAGCCTGGCCTTGCTCCCGCTGCCATGAATTAATAGGGAATTAGTGGGTCTCTTGTTTCATTCACACCTGTGCTCACCCCTGGGCACTTCACCTCACCCTGGAGTGAGTTCACACTGGTGCTTTCCAGGTGCTGAGCAAACCATTCGCACTTGTCAGGAACATGTTCCCTCTGAGTTGCTGAAGCCCGGAAAGCAATGCTTCCTCTCACGTTTCGTGATTGACATGCCTGCAACTTCTCACGCCTCTGACATTGGAGTCTCCTTGCACTTCTCTCCTCTGTACACCTGGATTGTGAAGATCTTCTAGAAGTACAGCCATCCAGCCAAGTGCTGTTGAAACTCCCATGCCATTTCCTGGCATTGCTTGCCCTTCGACTCTTTGGCACTTGATGACTTGGCTAGGCACAAGAACAGTGTCAGAATCTGTTCTGAGTGCTCACTGCATGCTGGACCCAGCCTTTCCTGCCTGGGCCTACTTAATCTCTCAACAGCTACTTCCTCCATATTACAGAGAAGGAAATCAAGAGTGAGATGGTTTAGTAATCAAGCTCCAAGGGCTAAAGAGGGACTGTGTGTAAAACACTCACCATGCAAGAGTGAGGACCTGAATTCTAGCCCACATCAGCCCCCCCCCCCAAAAAAAAGGGCAAAGTGTCACATGCTTGTAATCCCAGGATTGCAGAGGCAGAGACAGGGGCTCCAGGGCCACCTTGCCTAACTGAATTGATAAGCTCCAGGCAAGTGAGATAGCTTGTCTCAAAAATCAAGGTGGATGGCACACTGAGGAACAGAACCCAGGGTTGACATCTGGCCATCATATGCACGTTCACACATGCGTACCTCTATATACAATGATCCCAAATACAATCAAACCCCAGATCACACAAAGGGCTTAGATAATGTATGTCCCCAACTATTCTGCTCAGCACTATTTTTTTTTTTTTAATTTTCCTGTCTTGGTGCAGTAGAAAGGAGAGAAACATTCTGGCTCCAGTGACAAACCGAAGACAACAGACATTGCTCTGTGGCTCCAATCTCAGCATCCTAAGTGCTGAATTTTTAACCCTGTCACTTAGAGCTCTGTAACAATGTCCACTTCCTGACACCTTCAACCCATGGTGATCACCAGGTAGAATGTGTGAGAAGTTTCATGTCTGCCTGTGGCATATTTGAAAGGAATTATAGTGATAGAATTCTTTGGCTTGCCAATATTTATGTTGTAGTCTGCCTCTCCCACTAGGAGCATCAGGCATCAAACAGTAGAGAGAGATTCTGGACCAGCATGTGGAATCCATTCCTGTGAGGCTGCAGGTGGCCCACAGGCTGCAGGATTTTCTTACATGCCACTGTGGTGGTCATTAGCTATAGTGTGTTTCAAGGGTCTCAAGTCTACTGACACCAGCAGACTCCCGGGTCATTGCAACTCTCAGGATCAATACGATTTTGGTGAACACTGCTTTCCCAAATTACTGAATGTTGCTGGACCTCTCACGTAAGGCTATGTTCTGCAGTCAGTCCATCACTGGCAGACATTATACTAGACAATTGCCATTCTATCCCATCACACTTAGTCTACAGTCTTCAGTCACTCCCAAGTTCAACAGATGCCATGCAGTGCACCTGCTCAGCCTGTCTCAGGTCCCAGTCTCCCCATCACTTATGTTGTTGTGGGATCATGTGGCTGCCTACTCCCCACCCTCATCTGCACACCCCAGCCCTGTCACATCTGAGTCCTCAAGTTCATTCATTAAATTTGTGAAGCTGACCAATGCAAAACTTCAGAGTGTTTCTTCAGAGCCCTCAAGCTGAAATGCATACAGGCTCTGAGCAGGTAAGGTTGATTCCACAAACAATGTGGCTATCTAGGCTAATTCTGAGAAACAGGAAGTTGTTTCCAGGTCAAAGGTGAAACAAAGGTGGCCATTTTGTTTTTTTAGTTTCTTTCCAGAAATTCATATTGTATATATGAGGTATGAGTTTTCCCCCATTAAAAATGGTACCCCTTAACTGTCATTAAAAAAATATTGTGTAGACCATTAACTGTCTATGAAACAATGTGGTCTTAAGAGCTGCCAGCTTATAGCAATCTACTGAAGTATAGGTTTGGGGGTTAAAAAAATCAATTAGCATTTTTTTTTAGTTCTTCAGTTATCTAAGAACAATACTCACTGTCTTGGCACACTTGGGTGAAGGATTTATTGATTGGTTTTTCTGCTTAAAATGTTCACTCATAGAACCAAATTGATTAAGATCTAAACTTAAATATGATTTGTCCCCTACCCTTGGCGTATACACAATCAGATGGATAGATATGTTGATACAGGAAACACTAAGCAAACAGCACTGATAATTAGTGTGATGGATTTGGTGGCTTCTCTGTTTTCATGTTCCTAGGAGAAACACTGATTCTTACTGAGTGAACACCTCCTAACTAAATGAGAAAAGCAGTCTGAAGACCTGTGGTGACAATGGTCGATTGGAAGAGCAACAAGTATGACAGTCGTACAACAATGGGAAGGGCCGAGGAGATATATGTTTAATGATATAGTAAGTGGGACATATAGATTTAAAAACCACTTTCCAAACTCTTGTGTTTTTCAGGTAATATGTCACTACTGTCAGGTGTCCATGTGGCAATACTGAGCACATAGTATGCCAAGAAATATTTAAACAATCCATTGCTTATCCCTAGAACCCCATTAGCAAACACGTTCTTTTCTATTATATGTATTTAGACCCAGGGGGATTTATGATTCCTGGTTATTATTATATATCCTGTGATAAGCCATGCAGCTATACCATGAAAATCTTCACTCAGGAAGCATTTCTCTCAGGTAGCAAAGCAACAGGAAAGAGGACATTTATCTTCACCTCTACAGCAGGGCAATGGCGTCCTGTTGGGGAAAACTAACACCACCAACAACTGAAATGGAAGTTTAAAACAGCTGAGTGTAGAGAATCCTGTGTTTTAATGGCAAGAGCTGTCAGAGATATGCCTCACGGAAATCCTTCACAGCTTTTGTCCACGCAGCAAGATCTTTTGCTTTGCTGTCTCACTGTCCCATCTGTGAGTGAGTCTTCATTTCTCTCTTGTTGAAGCCACAGCCAGATGGTGGGGGCAGCTTGCCACACCTCTGTGACCTCCCCGCACAGTAGATGCCTCCAAGTGTGTCCTCTCCTCCTTGGAGTCGCATGCTGAGCCTCTTGACGCTGCCTTCATTGTCATAAGATTTCAGGCAAGGCATGCTTCATTTAATGAAGGCCTCCAGGGTGAGCGAGTGACCTCCAAACTTAGGGACCAGATGGATTCTGTGCTGCAAAGGAATCAGAAACCATAAAAGATGACATATTCAGAATGTTTTCCAAAGCTGGTGAGCAAAGGATTCATATATCACTTATGCAAAGATGTTGGTGTCATTGGCAAATTCAGTTTTATTGGCTAACCTTGGTGGCTCCCTCCCTGCCTTACATAAGGAAACTTTGAAGGATGTATCTATAGACTTGGTTACATCTGTGGACATATGGCCCCTCATTTAGACCTCTCTTCATTTCTCCTAAAATGTAACAGGAGCCACGCTAAAACATTGTTCTTAAAATTTTGAGCTTTTTTTTTTTTTCATTTTCCATTCATGATCTTCTTGTGTTCCTAGCTACGAGCAAGAAGTCTAGGAAAATAGTTCTTCTTCAATTCACCTCCTCCCCAATCCAATCAAAACGGAGGTTTCACTATCACGTACATTTCTGTCTACTCCAAACTTGGTGTTAACTATGTTTGTTTGTTTGTTTCTAAATTCATCCTCTACTCATCAGAATGATTTGATTCTAAACAAATCTGACCTTCACCCTCCAGCTAAAATCACCTCAATGATTTCTGATTGCCCATGGGACAAGAGTCTACATTCATTATAACACAGTTCACAAGATTCTCATGGAAGGGATTTTTGTCTAACCTTCTCTTGATCCATCATTGTTTCTTTAAATTCCATGTTCTAACATAAGTAGATTAATTATTATTAACTCTAGAAAAACATATATTATTATAATAGACATTTTTTTTAAACCTGATTCTCAAAACTCCTACTCTATCATACTTCATGTACTTGCCCCCGACAAGGATCTCAGATTGACTTTTTGTTTCTTCTATGGTGTGTGCATGAATGCATGCATGTTCTTATGTGTAGTAGGTGCCTGTGTGCATGGATTCTAAAGGGTGGCTCCTCATGTCTTCCCCCATCAGTCTCCACCTTATTTATCCAGTCAGGGTTCTTTCATTTGACTTCAGTGCTCATCAGTTTGGCTACTATTACTAGCTCACTTGTTCCTTGAACCTTATCTCTGCCTCCTGCCTCCTGGCCTCCATACCCACCAGGCTTTTATATGGGCACTGGAGTTCTCAACTCCGGTCCTCATACTTGCCCAGCATGTACTTTTGACCACTGATCTACCTCTTCAACATAGAACTGAGTCCTAATACATCTTATAACACATTATCAATTATTAGAGCTAAAGTTAAGACTAGAACTACACATTATTTATGGTTCAAACGTGGGCCTTTAAAAATGTAATTTGAAGACCACTGTCCAGTCAAGAGACTTCTCACCCAGTTTATTTCTGTTATTCAAAAATAATTTGTTTTATCTGTGTCTTTTGCCTTGAGTAGTTTGATGTGTTTGGGAAGCAACCCTAAGATTCCAACATATGACTGACAAATTTCTTTCCCTTAAAAGTGAATTGGGCATTATGCCCTGAATCCCCAATGAGTGTGTCTCATTCACAAGGTACCCTAGTTACTATTCCTCTCTGTTAGCAACTGCACTTACATTTGTAATACCTCTTAATAGATAAAGCCCTCACGTGCTACCTGGTAGATTCAGTAACGGCTCATACTATTAATGATCCTTCAATAATTCCCAGTTACCAAAATCACCTGGCATAAATGGCCTCCAGCTGATGATTTTAAGAAAGCCATGAAGAGTCATTAAGAGACCATGCCTAACCTTGGGACAAGGTCATCTGCATTGGAGGCTTAATCTACAAATGATGAATAAAATGCTTAGATGGCGTCATCATTAATATAATAAGTATAATTGTGGGAGCAGCAGAACACATGAGTGGGATACTAGGATTAATTTCAAAATGTAAGTTAAACAAAGAGTTTGAATACATGTATCCTGTGATTCCAGAAGACTCGGGTAATTAAAGGAACATTAGTGTCTTTCATGGATAACTACATATGAGTTTTGGTTGGTCAGACCCCCAAGATCTCTAAAAATTCACAGGCTATTGCTATTAATAGTAGTTACCCATGATGACTGTATGGTAAGACCTGTTAAAGATCCCTCATGATAAAATATGGACCCGCTTGATAGTTTCTATATAGACACTATCTTCTACTTCTAACTTATTGGACGTACTTTCTGAAAATAGAAATTTATCATTGCATAAACATCCTTAAATCTGGCACAACAATGCAAACAATTGCATACACAAATCTGACTTGTCATTGATTGGAATCCATTGATTAGAAACTGGCTGGAGATGAGACTGGCTGGAGGTGAGGACAGCCTCAGATTCAGCAGCCATGGCATGTTGAATCACATTGGTCATTCATTTATTCACCAGATACTTTATTTAACAAATTTACTTAGCTTTCTATTCTCTGCTGTGCTCTGTTTCTGTTGATGACAATGATACATGAAAATGAGAAATGCCTTTTTGCCCTCGTGAAGCACATGAGCTTGTCCCTGGAGAATCAAAACTAAACACTGTAGGCAGAAATGAGTAAACACTTCAATAGATCAATCTGGATCTGGATAATTGCTGTGATAAAAATAAATCAAAATAAATATTGACGGCAAACTATGTTGGTGGGTTACTGTTCAGGCACTGGTCAGGGAAGGGCCTCTGCTGAGGCAGCAATCAAGCAGAGATCTAAGTGAAGCGCCAAGCGGTGCAAAGCATGGGGATGTGGCAGACCGAGAAACCCCAGCATGGTTTGACATGTCTGATAAACAACAGAGAGTAATACAGCTGGGCAGAGTGACCTTCTTGCCCTGCCTGGTTATGTGTGAATAGTGGCATAATTTGGTCAAAAAATCTGATGTCTAACATTCAAAAATAGTTACAATTTAGTTAAACTACAGAGGCCAGGCTTCTCCTTTGGCAACATTTGCAAAGGAGATGTGAGTTCTCTCCACTAAGTGGTTAAGCGTTTACTACTCTGGGTCAAGGGGAAAAGAGCTGTGCTCATGCTTCCAAAGCTAACCCTCCCTCCTGCACTGCATTCATGTCTTTCTGTTTTGTCTTGTCACCCACTGATTTTAAAGAGCAGCAACAGTTTGAGGATGGACTTAGAACTATGAGGTGCATAGGTGTTGGGAAAGATGTGTGGGCTGGGAGGCAGAGAAGAGTGAGAGAGCGAAAGGAAACAGAATGCACTGTGCACATGTATGAAATCATCAAAGAACAAGTGTAGTCAATAAAAAGACGAAGAAACAAAAAGCTTAACTTAGGCATGGCAGTACACCCCTGCATTCCCAACACTGCAAGGATCAGTCCAAGGCCAGTCCTAGCTAATCAGTGAGTGTGAAGTCAGCCTGGGCTCCATGCGATGCTGTCTCAGAAGCATAAACAAAGGCTCACTCTGTGTTAGTTTCTTTGACAAGATTCCAGTGAATCATTAGACATAGACTATGAACCAGAGACTATAAAAGAAAGAATCGATAAGTGGATAATCTGTCTGTAAAACCTTCATGAGACTATATAGATTAGATAATTATGATATATATATATATATATATATATATATATATGAGATACATAGATATGTAGATACCTATGTGATATATAGATACAGAGAATAGGTGTGTATATTTGTATATGATTATATATACACCAATATATGCACTCACATGTATATGTGGATCTATATTGCATTATTATATTCAGTAGGATATATTAAACTATATTATGTTTATATTATTATATATTTATATTATTATATTATTACTAGTCATATAAGAAATTAACTGAAAACCAGTTCTGAGTTTTCACTCAGACTCCAGAAGAAAAAGTATTTCTACCAATGTGTAGTCTCTACTCTCTCCCTCAACACAGACTAAACAGACCAAAGCCAAGCAGGATGAGCTCCCATAGACAGGCAGATAGACACCAGAAGAGGAGCATGGCAGAAACATATGAGCATCCTTACAGATCCATAGAAACACCAACAGCATTGTCTGGAAAGACCCAGGAATTCGTATTAGGCAAGTGGGACAGATAGCATAACACATCCAGAAGGGAGACCCCATCTGGCCAGCCCAATGACTGACTTATCAGTCACATGATCACAGGTATGCACCCCAAATTCAGGTCACTTTAAGGATAACCCTAAATTGTCCAGAGGCCATCAGAGCTGTAGGAGCAATTTAACACCTTCTCTCTGGGTTGTTTAATATAACTTAATTAACACTTTCACTATGTGTTCATTTTAAAAGTGATTTTAGAAGTATTTTTAATATTAAAACAAACCAAGGTGCAAAGTAAGTTTTTATGCATAAAAAAACCCCACTAAACTAGTATAGGCTCCAAGAACCCTTTGGTGTTCAAATCCTCAGGTAATCTCTGCCATTTACAGAATACTTCTTTTATTTATAAACACATCTTTTGGGTCAAATAATGTTCACATTCTTGTCAGAACATACCAGGTATGCTAGCGAAGCTACCTTCAACCTGGAGGTCTCATTGAGGCAAAAGCTGCTGACCCCACCCACACTCAGAGTTTCTAGTTTAGAATTGGCATGCACTTTTCCAGCCGGTGCCACAGCCGGTCCAGGGAACACACTTTGAAAACCAGTCCTAGAGTGAAAATTGTAACAAGAATTAGAATTCCAAGTAACTCCTGGTTCCATCACAGCATAGAAGAGCAAGCTAACCCACGGGAAGACAAAGGATTCCCCCCAGGCATACTTCATGAATGGCTTTTATTTGGTCCTATACACCTTGCCTTGCTTTAAGTTTTTCAGGAAACAAAATCAGCCCAGACTTTTTGGATAGTAACAGAGTTATGAACTGGTTTTCTTCTCTGTTGTGGGAACACAGCACCTGCTGAACTCTCCCCCTTCCACGAGACTTTAAAAGCAACTCGTGGTTCAATAGAAGCAACTCGTGGATGTTCCATGGAAGGAAAGGCATTTCCCAGATGCTGGTTTCAGACCTCAGTCTAATACCTGATGGGGTCAGAAGCAGAAACCAAAGTGTTTCTGTGTGTCAGGGTGATGCAAATGAAGAATGAAAGTGGGACCATTGAGAGATCAACGTCAAATGTCAGAGAAGCTATTGCCTGGAACAAGAGCAGAGTGTGAGGCTGAGTTCAGGAAGGCACAGGGATTTCACAAGCCCACGGCAGCCTCCAGTCCTGTCAGTTCTGATCACCACAACTCATCCCAACAACACATCACAGTGGCCCGTGGCCTGCACATAACTAGCACCACAGTAAGACCCGTTTAAAAGGCAGGCAGTTGACACACAGTGAAAGCAGCTGTCCTGGTTTCTTTACTTGTGCTGTGACAAGATGCTGTGACCTGGCCCCTGCCTCCAGACATGCCCTCCCCCCCACACACACACATACAGCCAAAATCAAGGGTTTATTTTAGCTTACAACTCCAAGTTACAGTATATTATTGCAGAATTCAAGGCAACAGGAACTGGAAGCAGCCAGTTTCAGCACATCCACAGGCAGCAGAGAGAAATGAATGCTGGCAGACTTGCTCACTTCCATGTCTCATCTCTTACACCGTTCACAGTCCAAACCCAGGGAACAGTACTACCCACTCCTAGGTTGGATCTTTCCACATAAATTCAAGCCAGACAAGACAGTTCCCCGAGATATGCACATAGGCCAACCTCATCTAGACAGATGCCAGAGAAGGAGGAGGACCTCAGGGGCTAGCCACCCAGCTACACAACCAGCAATGGAGTAAGAAAGAAAGGTATACAGAAATAGAGAATGGAAAAAGCCCAGAGGCAAATAATAGATGGGATAATTTTAAGTTAAGGAAAGCTGGTGAGAAACAAGCCAAGCTAAGGCCAGGCATTCATAATTAAGAATAAGCCTCCATGTATGATTTATTTGTGAGCTGGGTGGTGGGTGCCCCAAAGAAGAAGAAAAAACAAATAATGTGATGATATATTGTGTACCCTTAGTAAACATACCTGAGGATCAGAGGACAGAGCCAGGCACTAGATTAGACATAGAGGTCAAGCAATGGTGGCACACACCCTTAATCCTATCACTCAGGAGGCAGAGACCTGCCTGGATCTCTGTGAGTTCAAGGCCACACTGGAAACAGAGCCAGGGCATGGGGGCACACACCTTTAAACCCAGTACTAGGAAGCACACATGCCTTTAATACCAGGAAGTGATGTATGGGCAGAGAAAGGTATATAAGGCCTGAGGAAACAGGAACTCATTCTCTTTAGACTGAGGATTTCCTAGAGGTAAGAACTAGTGGCTGGCTGCTCTGTTTCTCTGATCCTCAGGCAACTTTATTAGGATATACAATATATCACTGTTGGTTTTAAATGCGGCACTTTTACTCTGTGAGGAAAGGTCATGAGGCATGACAAAACCCAGTATCAGAGAGCTTTATGGGGGGGGGGAGGAGACAGAACAGAGTGACCAGGCCTATGAAAGACACCTGCAGGGAGGGGGGAGGAGGAAAGACCAGAAGAGAGGGGAGGAGTCTGTGACCGTCTTTTTAAGGATTCTCCCCTGCACATGCACATGTGGGCTTACAGAGCTATGCCATGCATGTTCAGATTGCATGACCACGCTTTGCACATTGATTGATAGAGTGATCATGCAGCACACAGATGACATAACAGGTAAGATCCCTTGCTTGACTACTGAACTGCACATGTGTGGTCATGCAGCTGGAGGAGCAGCAGAAACCTAACAATCACCACAAAACAACAACATCCGTGCTCCCTCAGTTTGTCTGCAGAATTCAGTGCCTCTGTACTGGAGAACCTGCATTACAGCTGATGTTGACCAGGGACCTCTTTGCCCAGTCCTCATCCCCCATCATTTTCCTTCTCAAAAATCACAATGTCTGCATGTCTAATGATCTGAATATCTCTTACTTCCTCTACTTCTATAAATCATGGATGACAGCACTCAGCCTATCTTAAACTCAGTTGATTGCTTAGTTGCATTGGTAAAATTTTTTTCTTTTTTTATTAATTTTTTTCATTTATTTTACAGTTTCTTCTCCCTCCTCTCCCCTTGTTCCCTCCCGACAAGCCTCCCAGGTTTCTCCCTCCCCATCCACTTCTCCTCCTTCTCCTTTCAGAAAAGGGCAGGCCTCCCATGGGTGTCAACAAAGCATGGCATATCCAGTTGAGGCAGAACCCAGCTCCTCCCCTGCATCAATGGCCTAATCACAAAGAATAACAGCAAAGAGAAAAGGCCGCTGAGACCATTGAGAATCTGACAACCATGGTAGGTGACACCCACAAGAGCAAGGGTGAGTAGGCTGAAGCTATCGTTTGGTGGTGCCATACATCTGGATCCAGTATCCAGCTGCTGAGCAATAAACAAAAGATGAGTGCAAGGGTGGGCAGAGAGACATTCACACCTGAATATCTTGATGGCATGGATTGCTGTAACAAAGAAAAGCTTAACAAAGATTTAAAAAGAACAACCAGTCATTTGGACACCACTGATGGGTTAATTCATACCTAAAAAGACATAATCTACAAGAAACCTTCGGGCAATAGCCCAATATAACCCAACAAAGCTATTTATGTGACTGAATGAAGGTGTCCCTGGTGTTTACTAGAAGTCAGTCACAGACATATCCCCATCATAGCCACGTGAATGGAGTATTAGGGTAAACCAGATGAGTTGGCTACGTGAACAGGAAGCTTGTCACAAGCATGATTACCTTCAGTCTGTATTGACTGAGGAAATCCAATTAGACAAAGGCCAGCAGCTCAGCCTTGGCTGCAAGCCCTGAGGTTCCTGTCATCTGACACAGAACTCTTTAATCTGAAAGTAATTATTGAATTTCAAACACTGTTCTAGGCACCAGAAACATGACCAGGAACAAGCCACACAAGGCTCTTCCTTTTATAAAGATCAGAGCCTACAGTGTCATGAGGACAATAAATAAACAAATGTTTGCACCAAGTGATGGCTGACTCTGGTAAGGGACATGAGGAAGCTACAGGGTGCAATTGGCCCTGGAAGAGCAAGCATGGCCAGTGGAAGGTGTCTGAGTTGAGAAGTGCACATTGAAAAGGTTCTACTGGGAGGATCAGAGAAAAGAATGTTCAAGGCAGAAACCATTTCCAGAGAAACAACATCAATCTAGTGAGAAAGATCTCCACTCTTACCTATGGAAAGATCACAAAGAAGGTTGGTAGCCAATGGGGCTACTGCCAGAGTTAACAGACACCACACAGAGCCTCACAGAACATGGTAAGAAGTTTGGGTTTATGTCAGTACACTGGGAAGTCACTAGGAAGCTCAAGCCCCCGGGGTGCAAAAATAAACTCACTTATATTTTTTAATTTGGGGGGTATGTGTTTGTATGAATTTTCATGTATATCCATGTAGTGTGTGTGTGTGTGTGTGTGTGTGTGTGTGTGTACATATATGTGTGCATGTGTGTATGTATTCTTATGGAGGTGTGGAGGCCACAGGACATCCTCAAATGTCATTCCTCAGATACCACTACCTTTGTGTTTTTCATGAGACAGGGTAGTTCGAGAAATCTAAGAATTACACCTTAAAGTGTATAGGAATTTATTAGGGAGAAAGACTCACTACAGCATGAGAGATTTATTGTAGGGTCCTGGAAGGCTGAGGTACAGTCCCATACTGTTCTTCTGCATGAGTCCATCCCAGCATCCGAGCCCATGAGGGAGAGCAGAGAGCAGCTTAAGTGGTCTCAGGTCTTAAGAGTAGCCTGAGCCATGCTCCAGGAGCAGGTACTTCAATGTCATAAGTAGTTAGGCCCTTTACTAGCTACATCTCTAGGGGTGGTGCTTCAAGGTCATAGAACAGATATCTACTATAACAGGGTCTTTCACTGGCCTGGAACACACTGAGCAGCCTGGGCTGGCTTGTGAGCAAGCCCCAGGCTTTCATTTACATCTGCCTCCCCAGTACTGGGCTTGCAAGACCATCCCTGGGCCTAGGGTTTTAAAACAGTCTCTAGAGACTGATTCAGTCTTCATGAGTGCAAGGCAAGCACTTTACTGACTGAATGATTGCCTCTTTCCTGATTTGTGCTTTGTAAGAGCTCGGGATGTTATAGGAATAGAGACAGCTATCCATGGGGAAGTTTTCTGTCATAATCTGGGGAAAAGATGACATTGGCTTGGACAAGAATAAATAAAATTCAGATGCATTTTGCAAATAGGTTGGAGAGACCAACTTACCACATTAAACGCAGAAATAAATTTCTGAACTGTGGTAATGTCAGTAAACCAGGCAGGTATTGTTAGGGACAAAACTTCTTTATCAATATACCTTCAACATGCCCATAGCCTTCTCTTTTTTAGGTGGAACTTTCTGGAGAAAAAGGAGCATGCCCAGAAGTATTACTGTCCACCATTTTAACCTCTCTTACATCAGCTCTATGACCTTGAGCTGAGAACTTCAAGTGTGCTCATTATCTTTCCCTCTTGAAGTATCATCTTTATCTAAGCAAGACTGGGGATATTCTCCTTAAATGAGAGCACTCAGAGTGAGTCTACCCTTAGAATATGTGTGTACATACATGCATATGTTGTGTATATTCTTATTGTATACAATCCTCAATCCTTAAATGACCCCCATGCTCTCCTTGCCTGTTGGATGCAGATCTCTCCCTATTCTTATTTCCACTCTTATCACCATGCTTGCTTGGGTTTTTAAGCCTACCAAGATATGATTTGTCCTCAGTTAGAACAAAGCTTCAACTATGCCCACTCCTTGTGTCCCACCTTTGCCTCTTGGTTCTTCTAAGACTGTTTTAATTTCTAAATAGGTAGAGCTAAAACACAAACACAAGATCCTACCATTTTCCTTTATCTATTCCTAAACATAATTTTATGGTAGGACCCAGGAAATGACTGTAATATCCATCTGAACAGCAAATGTATGAGCCATCCTACCCCATCACGCTCCATCCACCCCCTGCAGAAATGGCAGAAGGAAGACCCATGCACACAACTTGTATGCAAATATTCATGGCAGCAGTTGCCATATGACCCTACAACAGTAGAAACAACCATGATGTCCTGAAACTTGAAAGCAGTTAAATCACACACGCATAGAAACAAAAGGGGCCAGCTCGCTGACACCAGCTAGAAGAGACTTTACAAGCAAAATGAAGGCGGACTGTAACACAAACTGCTAAACAGTCTTATTAATTAAAAAAAAAAAAACAGAGCCAGATATTGGGGTGAAAGCTGAAAGTTCAGAGGAATAGAACAAGTCAGCCAGCCTCAAGTTCTTACTGCTAGGAAATCCTCAGCTCAAGAGAGTTATTTCTTGTATATTCATGCCTTATATAACTTTCTGTACCCTGCCACGTTACATCCTCTCTGCCCAGCTACATCACTTCCTCTTTCCACCCAGGCCTATCATTTCCTGTCTGTCTGTACAGACCTCCAGACTTCTATGGTTAATTACTGCTGGGATTAAAGGCGTGTACCATCACACCTGGCTCTGTTCCCAGTGTGGCCTTGAACTCACAGAGATCCTATGGACCTTTGCCTCCCGAATGCTAAGATTAAAGGCATGTGCTAACATTGCCTGACCTCCAGGTTTAATATAAATAATAGCTGGCTTTGTCCTCTGATCCCCAGGCAAGCCTTATTTGTTAGAGCACAAATAAAATATTACCACAGCAGACAAAGGAAACAAAATGCAAAGATCTACATGTTCCACCTAGAAACATATCATGTGTGCTCATGGATGATGAAGGCTTCAATTAGGGAAGTGATTAAAATAGGTGAAGGAGCCAGGAATAAAACTCTACCAAAGACCTATGGTGGCTTCCCCAGGCCGACAAAAAGAGAAATCAAATATAAGGATAAAATATGTCCAGGGGCTGTTTTTATACTCGATGGAAAGATTCTTCTAAATTCTAATATAGTAATGGTTACTACATATTATTGGGTTCTTAGCACTTTCCCTGTGCTAAGGGGGCTAATATCACAGCTTGAATCCATCTAAGGCCCAGGTTGTTTCCAACCATACATTAATAGTGTGTCTTCCTTTACTTAGTGCCACTGAGTATTGAGCACATTGCTAAGGCTAGGGGATATCATAGAAAACTAGGTATTCAACCCTCGTTTGAGAAGCACAGATATATACATATGTGGCAGAGATGTTAGTATCTCATTCATACAACTCTATACTGCCCTTTAACTCAGCAATGTGCTAATTCACAGATGGATTCCACAGCTTATTCAATAAGGTTTGTTGTAAATAATACAGTTTCAGCATTATCACAAATAGTGAAAGACAGTGGGCAAGCAGCTTTTATCAGTAAGTGACTATATTCTAAAAAGAGGAAAAACACTGTTTCTCCCTATTCCCATGATGTCTTCATTTATCGTAGTATCTCTTTCCTTGCTCTCCCACTCTGTCCCTGTTCCAGCTCAAACCTCCCATTTACCTGTGTTCTCATCCCTCATCCCTTGCCCTCCATTACCCGCCACATCACCCCCAGTTTGCTCATGTAGATCTCATCTATTTCTCCTTTGCTGGGTGATCCTTGCATCCCTCCTACGGTTCTCCTTGCTAGCTAGCCTCCCCACAGCTGTGAGTTGCAGTCTGGTTATCCTTTGCTTTACATCTAGTATCCAGTTATGAGTGAGTACATACCATGTTTGTCCTTCTGAGCCTGGGTTACCTCACTCAGGATGATATTTTCTAGTTCCATCCATTTGCCTGCAAATTTCTTTGATTTTACTGCTAAAAAGTACTCCATTGTATATATGTGCCACATTTTCTCTATCCATTCTTTGGTTGAGGGGCATCTAGGTTGTTTCCAGGTTCTGGATATTACAAATAGTGCTGCTCTGAACATAGTTGAGCATGTGTCCTTGTGGCATGATTGAGCATTCCTTGTGTATATACCTAAGACTGGTATAGCTGGGTCTTGAGGTAGATTGATTCCCAATTTTCTGAGAAACCACCATACTGATTTCCAAAGTGGCTGTACAAGTTTGCACTCACACCAACAGTGGAGAGTGCTAGGGAAGTTCCCAGGAATCCACAAGGATGAACCCACCTTAGACTACTGACAATAGTTGAGAAGGTGCCTGAACCGGCCTACTCTGGTGGTCAGATGGATGAATACCCTAATGTTATTATAGAGCCTTCATTCAGTGACTGATGGAAGTAGATGCAGAGATCCACAGCTGGGCACCAGGCCAAGCTCCAAGAATCCAATCAATGAGAGAGAAGAGGGATTCTATGAGCAAGGGACATCGAAATCA